CTGGTGCAGGTTGAGTGTGCGTTCCAGATAGATAGCTCACACAAAAATTACAATATAATTGTATCATATTGATGTGGTTCCTTTGCCTGTGCAGAATGTACAGTATGTGTCTGGAACTTACCCAATCCCTCCCCTTGAGTCTGCCATCATCTAAAGTTCCAAATCCACCTGTTGGCCTTGACTCCTACTAACCTCATTTCTCAAGACACATATGATAGCCTACTCTATATCTGAATACCCTTATGAGAATTGGAGCTGGCTAATTAGTTGAGGTTATCAGTGAGAGTGCATGTGTGGAAGTGCATGTGAGGCCTGACTCACACTACAGATATAGCCTAGTTCATGAATAATTAATCATCGTCTGTGGGTCAATTAGGCCCTGCATGGCTGGGATCTCCATGCTCACCTGAACCTAAACACAGACAGACAGACAGACAGACAGACAGGTTGGGGTAGGGGGAGACCCAGATAACCAGAGATCCTTAAATGAAACACACACACACGAACACAGGAACGCACACACACACACACACACACACACACACACACACACACACACACACACACACACACACACACACACACACACACACACACACACACACTCACACACTCTCACACACACACACACTCTCACACACTCTCTCTCTCACACACACACACACACACACACACACACACACACACACAAAATATCTATGTCAGAGTGAAAGCTGTTCAGGCATTTATTTGACCTACATGCACCAATAAGCTGAAAACCCCCAAAGAGAGTGGACTCAGCCCCTGGACTAAGTAAAAACAGTCTGAAAACAGGTTATGGCTCTAGTGAATATTACAGTTTATTTTATTGCTTTGGTACTATTTTCACAAGTATGTGGTACATTTTCACAACTCTTAGTACAAAACTCCAAACTGGTCACACGTGTAATGCAGCCAGTCTTTCATTTAACACCTGTCACTGTGCATTCATTTGGATTGTAAACATCTCTCACCACACAATCATTGATTCAAAATATAAGTTTATTGTGAAATGGAATGAGAACATTGGTTTAATCACCAAAACACAACATAATTTTAACTACCAGTTAATCCAATAGCAAACAATGCCTTTAGAAGTGCTGAAAGTAATATGCTACAGTACTGTAAATTACAGTAGATTACACCGTTTTCACATTAGGCAATGCACTTACATTATCCAACAAAATTGACAGAAAATCTATAACAATCAAAGGTGTGCTCAATGAAGACATCCTCTACAATCATTCATGCAAAAAAAACATTTAATTTTCCAGATATAATTGCAACATAGGTGTATTGTCTGTAATCAAATGTAAGAAATAAAATAAAATAAATTAAATGAATGAAAATATAACATAACGTTTAGCACGCATTCATTTGCATCAAGCCTGTCTTGAGAATTTGGCCAATGTGTTTCATAGATTCCTGGTGCCCCTTCAAAAGGTTGGTAGGCTGATGGATGCCACGTTGGCAAAGGTGTCATCGTTCTCCTCAATGGCCTGCTTTATTTCAGACAGCAGTATGTCATTCCTGGCCCTCACCATTTCACCCACTGCCCACTCCTGCTGGTCGGTCAACACACGGCCACCACCATGGGGTCTTCTGTCAATTATGAAGCTAGAACAGAGTATACTGTCAATATATCATACTGTAAGAATACTGTAACATGTTTTGTGAATTTACATATATTACAATATGTTATTTGCTATAAATATACAGTGGGGAGAACAAGTATTTGATACACTGCCAATTTTGCAGGTTTTCCTACTTACAAAGCATGTAGAGGTCTGTAATTTTTATCATAGGTACACTTCAACGGTGAGAGACGGAATCTAAAACAAAAATCCAGAAAATCACATTGTATGATTTTTAAGTAATTCATTTGCATTTTATTGCATGACATAAGTATTTGATACATCAGAAAAGCAGAACTTAATATTTGGTACAGAAACCTTTGTTTGCAATTACAGAGATCATACGTTTCCTGTAGGTCTTGACCAGGTTTGCACACACTGCAGCAGGGATTTTGGCCCACTCCTCTATACAGACCTTCTCTAGATCCTTCAGGTTTCGGGGCTGTCGCTGGGCAATATGGACTTTCAGCTCCCTCCAAAGATTTTCTATTGGGTTCAGGTCTGGAGACTGGCTAGGCCACTCCAGGACCTTGAGATGCTTCTTACGGAGCCACTCCTTAGTTGCCCTGGCTGTGTGTTTCGGGTCGTTGTCATGCTGGAAGACCCAGCCACGACCCATCTTCAATGCTCTTACTGAGGGAAGGAGATTGTTGGCCAAGATCTTGCGATACATGGCCCCTTCCATCCTCCCCTCAATACGGTGCAGTCGTCCTGTCCCCTTTGCAGAAAAGCATCCCCAAATAATGATTTTTCCACCTCCATGCTTCACGGTTGGGATGGTGTTCTTGGGGTTGTACTCATCCTTCTTCTTCCTCCAAACACGGCGAGTGGAGTTTAGACCAAAAAGCTATATTTTTGTCTCATCAGACCACATGACCTTCTCCCATTCCTCCTCTGGATCATCCAGATGGTCATTGGCAAACTTCAGACGGGCCTGGACATGCGCTGGCTTGAGCAGGGGGACCTTGCGTGCCCTGCAGGATTTTAATCCATGACGGCGTAGTGTGTTACTAATGGTTTTCTTTGAGACTGTGGTCCCAGCTCTCTTCAGGTCATTGACCAGGTCCTGCCGTGTAGTTCTGGGCTGATCCCTCACCTTCCTCATGATCATTGATGCCCCACGAGGTGAGATCTTGCATGGAGCCCCAGACCGAGGGTGATTGACCGTCATCTTGAACTTCTTCCATTTTCTAATAATTGCGCCAACAGTTGTTGCCTTCTCACCAAGCTGCTTGCCTATTGTCCTGTAGCCCATCCCAGCCTTTTGCAGGTCTACAATTTTAACCCTGATGTCCTTACACAGCTCTCTGGTCTCGAATCCAGGCTCTGTCGCAGCCGGCCGCGACCGGGAGACTCATGGGCGGCGCACAATTGGCCCAGCGTTTGGCCCAGGTAGGGGAGGGAATGGCCGGCAGGGATGTAGCTCAGTTGATAGAGCATGGCGTTTGCAACGCCAGGGATGTGGGTTCGATTCCCACGGGGGACAGTATAAAAAAATAAATATGTATTCACTAACTGTAAGTCGCTCTGGATAAGAGCGTCTGCTAAATGACTAAAATGTAATGTAAATGTCTTGGCCATTGTGGAGAGGTTGGAGTCTGTTTGATTGAGTGTGTGGACAGGTGTCTTTTATACAGGTAACGAGTTCAAACAGGTGCAGTTAATACAGGTAATAAGTGGAGAACAGGAGGGCTTCTTAAAGAAAAACTAACAGGTCTGTGAGAGCCGGAATTCTTACTGGTTGGTAGGTGATCAAATACTTATGTCATGCAATAATTACTTATGTCATGCAATAACTCCCCACTGTAAATGTAAATCATAGTGCATATCCTGCAGACTTACCGATTTTCTTGGCGAAATGTTCTCATGATCGAATTAACAGTTGATCTTTTCAGATCGGGGTGAACTAATCTGGCAGCCTCTGCCATGGTAAGGCCTCTGTTTACCACATGGTCAACGAAGATGGCCCGGACTTCATTAGACACAACAGTTCCCTGCCATCTGCCTCCTTCTCTCTGATGTCCACCTCTTTGACGGGGCTCATGCCCACCTCTTTGACCTCTTTGACGGGGCCCATGCCCACCTCTTTGACCTCTTTGATGGGGCCCATGCCCACCTCTTCGACCTCTTTGATGGGGCCCATGCCCACCTCTCTGACAGGCCCCTTGTCCACGAGCTCTTTGATTTCTTCCTCTCCCTAGCTGTCTATCCTGCTCCATGTTGGAAGAAATTGCAAGTGTTCACACATCCCCTTTTACATGTATATGGTGACCAATTGTGGTTACCACTATATGAAATCAATTACCATTGATTATGCATGGTTATAATGTATCATACATGAATTTAGATGTTTATACTTTACAAACACACATTTTATTGCTGTAATTCTCAAAATCCATATATAGTAGACAAACCAGTTAAAAATCTATAGATTTACCAAACGGTTAGTTAAGTGATTAACCATAAAGCGCAGTTGGATTAAGTGATGGTCAAATGTATTTAAACAAATGAGAAGAGAATCATATGAAAAGTATTGTGAGCATTGCATTGTGAAAGGCAATACCTTTATATGAAAGGTATTTCTAAATGAAACACTAATTAGGTTTGGTGAAAAAGTTACTGTGTGATTTTGTATGTTGTACTTAGTCAATTGAAAATGTGCTTAAAGTTTAGAAAAAAACAGCCTTTTTGATTATCTGTTTTGAGTTTTGTACTAAGAGTTGTGAAATGTTACCACATACTTGTACATAAGCGATAAATAAAAAGGGGCAACATGCTGCTCTGAGAAACAGACCTACAGTAAATGCAGTAGTATGGCATTGATGTAATTCTCTACATCTACAGTGGAGGTCCCTGTTGCTCATTAAATCCCTGGAGTTTAGGTCCCAAATGGCAACCTCTTCCCTATGGGCCTTGGTCAAAAGCAGTGCACTAGATAGGGAATAGGGTGTCTTTTGGGATGCGACCAGTTTGTTTACCTAAGGGCCATTAGAACCATTAGAACTCTGGGCCGTTTCCTTGCAGCACAGGACAGAGGTCACAGTAATGTCAACAGCATTCCTTCACCTGGCCTGTTTATACGCAGTTGGAGAAGCAGGTGCATGTAGGTTAAGTTACACAATGATTGGCTAGACTTCACCTCTCATCTCCTCCCATCAATAGCCTTCACAATCACCCACTTTCTCATTCAGTTCTGAGTTACTGAGTACCTAACTAATCAGAGTTTATTGAAAACCACAACTTCCTTGATCTCCATCAGACATATGAAAATAAGCCTTATTTACTTGCCAACTTATTTAAGAATACAATACAGAAACAAGACTAAACAAGTGAATACAAATAAAAACACTTTATTAATAAAAAGATAAAAGCATTGCCAAGTTACAAACACAAAGTTGAGTTTCCATAAAACGGGTATGACAATCTACTGTAGATTGAGGTCTTGACTTCCTCTCTATCCCTGAACAACGTTAGTAAAGGGAGTTCGCTCTGACTGACTGATGTGTTCGACCTCTTTATTAAATGCCCAATCCTTAATTGAAAAAAACGTCTGTAAATATCACAGATTGGGCGGTCTTGATAGATGACATCTAGTCTCCTGTCCTCCTGAAGTTGAGTCGGGCGGTCCACTGGTTTTTCGCTGAGGGTTGTGCTTTGATTGCCTAGAGCAGGATGTTGAGGTGTCTCGGACCCCTGGTTGGTTAGTCATTATGGATAGGCGTGTTCCAGGTTTTTTTTTTATTGCAGTCACGCTGCACACATTATCTCATACTTCTTACAATGCCTTGATAAGTGTTTATCTTGAATGTATCAGGAACCACATTAATATGATAAAGCCTAGCAAATCTTCTAAAATAAGTAGCATGATTGCTTTAAAGACGACCTGGAACGTGCCCTATGCAACATGGGGACTACAGGTGAGCTGATTGACATATACAGGCCACAGACTTCAGAGTTACAGACAAACTCCTTGTTGGGTTGGTCTTCTAGTCCTCCTCTCCCTCAGACTCGGACTCTACAGGGGAAAATAAACATCAAGATTATTACTAAACAGCTCCACATAGTGATAAAAACAGGAATTACAGTAGAGCGCACATTGCAGCCCAAGTCTATCGAAAGTTACAGTTTTTCTCAATTGCTAAAACACAATTTCTGAAACCTTGCTCCATTTCCTGAAAACATTAAACACAAAACCTCATCTTCAAGCACTATTTACAAAACCTCTGACTCCTCTCGCAAAATGAAACATTCGCCTCAAAACAGTTTTACCTGTGTTCAAAATCAAACACTGCTCTCAAATCATAAACAAAGTGATCAAAATGATATACACTCTCAAGCAGTCAGTAAACAATACACCGAAAAATAGAAAACACATTGTTCAAAACATACAGTTCTCAGGGAGAAGTACATTTTTAATCTCAAAACAAATTTCATATGTTTCCGTCATTGTCTTTTGATGAACGAAAACATGTTCTATCATAGTAGCTCAAAATTGATCAGAAATTACTACTTTTGTTTTTTGTTCTTCCTCCTCCTTGTATCCCTATTTTTACAGTACTGTACCCTGCATCTCACAAATTTGTCCTTTGTCTCTGTAATACTGTAATTCTTGTTCTTTGTTGATATGAACCTGCAACCAGTCAAAATCTATTGAGCAGTCAGTACTGTTAACAAATGGAAAGCACAATGTTCAGGGCCATACAATTTGTCCATTGTACAGTATACAGCCTACAATGCACTGTACTACAGTATACAATACTAAAAGGGACAAAAATCAAAGGAGTAAACATGTGATCAATGTGCTTCTTCTTGTCTTTGGGCTGGGTCAGGCCAGAGCACTTTGTCGACATCACAAGCAATATTGTCCCTCCTGAGGCAACGGGGGAAGAAGCCTCTTGTGTGCCGTATCCAGCCCTGACATGATTCCTCACCTATATCACCTCAAGTTAAATCCATGGCTTGCAGCAGATTTACTCTGGTGTAGGGTTGTCTATCATACACTTTCCATCTCCAAGAGGAGAAAAACTCCTCAATCGGATTCAGGAAAGGCGAGTATGGAGGGAGGTACAAGGTCATAAACTGCCCATTGATGTTACAGTTTTTTCCAACTGCTTACACACAAAATCTTTTCATGTCACACGATTTTTGAAACCTCTCACTCAAAGTGCAAAACTACACACAAAATCTCCAAAACCATAAGCTATTTCTCAGCCTTTGACTCAGTTGTCAATTGCATAAAAACACTTTTTTCAAAACACTACACACAATTCTCTACCTAAAACACAAAAATCTAACAGGAAGTGACTTGCTTTCCTTTTCCAAACACAACCAATCAAAATGCTACACTTATTCACCAGGTCAAACACACTCTCCTCACATGTTCAAACACTAATTGCTTAACTGATCACTAACCAATCACTGCTTTACTGTAGTATAGGACTGTTTCGAACAATGGATGCCAACAATGGACAGAGAGCAAGAGGAGTAGGAGGGAGAGGCAGGGGACAACAACGAGGACAAATTCAAAGACGAATAGTTGGAAGAGGAGGAGTAGGAGGTAGAGGAAGAGGAAGAAGAGGACGAGGGCAAAGAAGAGAAGGAAGGAGAGCCATCTCTGATGAGATTAGGGCAACACTTGTTGATCATGTGATCAACCACGGTTTGACCATGAGAGAGGCTGGACTGAGAGTCCAGCCCAACTTGAGTCGATTTACAGTGGCGTCCATAATTCGAACCTTCAGAAATGAGAACAGGTATGCAACTATCTAATTACTATTTTAGCATTACAGTAATGTACTGTAAAATACGTATGACTGCATAGTATTGCATAAACATTTGTAACTCTAAGCCATCCATTTACTGCACTGCACCCCCGGGAACCCCCACACACAATTGTGTTCTTTACTGTATTCTAAAGAATATACTTTTGGTTTACATATGTTTATGGTTTTGTTGTATGCTACTGTATACAACAGTAATGTTTGGCCTAATAAATATTTTCTGTTTCTACATTGCATTGGTGTTTACAGTGTACTTGTTACCCCTCTCAGCAGATTACTTTCACTGTAGAACATTGTATTGAAATGTATATATAAGCACCATTCCCTTACCTGAGCAGCTCGGTGGAAACTGACATTGTCCCACACTATCACATAGGTGGGAATGGGATTCTCATTTAGCCCTTGACCCTGCTGCTCTTGAACCTGCTGCTCAAATAAAATATATCTTAGATTGGCAATAAATCTTAGAAGGTGCTGGGTGTTATATGGCCCGAGTGTAACATGGTGATGTAGAACACCATGGTTGCTGATAGCAGCACAGATTGTAACATTGCCGCCTCGTTGACCAGGGACTTAAACAATGGCCCGCTGTCCAATCATGTTTCGGCCTCTCCTTCTTCTCTTTGATAGATTGAAGCCTGCTTCATTGACAAAGATGAACTCATGGGGTCTGTCCAAGGATTCCAAGTCAAATATTGTCTGTGTAGAAATACAATATACTGTATGTAGGATTTTGTAAGTCGTACAGAGACAGTGCTATACTGTAGAGTACAATTAGGCCTACTGTATGCACTTCTGATTCACATACATTGTATGTACTGAAGAGTAATGTCATTCACATAGTATGTGTTAGTACTGTAGACAATCTGGATTACAGTAAATGTTTCTGAATGTACACTTACTTGCACATACTGAGCTCACAGTTCTTTCACCCTTGGTGAGTTGCGCTCAAAAGGTACTCTGTATACTTGTTTCATTCGCATCCTGTTACGATGGAGGACACGGTCAATTGTGGAAATGCTCACACTGTCGATTCCCTGGAAGTGTGTGTTGTCTTGTATCACTCGTTCCTGGATTTCTCTGAGTCGTATTGCATTATCTTGAAGGACCATGCCAACTATAACGGCCTCTTGCTCCGGAGTGAATATAGCTGTCCTTCCACCTGCATGTGGCAGCATGCAGGTGTAGTTGTAGTTGTGTAGTTACAAAACATATTCATGCAGTACAATACATACTGTGATTAACTTTACAAATGTATATTGAAACAGCTGCATATAGTGTAGTACAGTAAATTTGCAATTACAAATATACAGTAGTATACTGTACCTGTTCTCTTCTCAGAATGTCCTTACTATGGTGGACACAGAAAATCGGCTCAAATTGGGTTGCACTCTAAGTCCTGCTTCCCTCATTGTCAGTCCATGGACAAGAACATGGTCTATGACTGTTGCTTGAATTTCATCAGATATTTCCACTCTTTGTCTTCCTCTTCGTCCTCCTCTTCCTCTTTCTTGCCCTCCTCCTCCTCTTCCTCCTCGTCGCCCACCTCGCATTGTGGTCCTCTGTAGCTCAACTGGTAGAGCACAGCGCTTGTAACGCCAAGGTAGTGGGTTTGATCCCCGGGACCACCCATACACAAAAATGTATGCACGCATGACTGTAAGTCGCTTTGGATAAAAGCGTCTGCTAAATGGCATATTATATTATTATTATTATATACGCACTCGTCCTCGTCCTCTCACATTGTTTCTTCTATCCATTCTCAGACTTTCTCCTTCCCACCTTCAACAACCTGTTTGCTCTCTGAACTGGCTTATATTGGTTGTGTCGCATCATTTGAAACAGGTTAAATCAATTTTGAGTGGTTGTGTTCAATCAATGACATGTGTTCTCTATTTGTATTTGATTGTTGCCACTTGTGTTTACCAGTATGGATGACATGTGCATTAGAGTGCAGAATGTGTTTTGAGAATGAGAATGTATTTAGAGTTTTGCTGAAAAGTCTAAGTGAGATCTGCAAATTGTGTTTTACCATGTGAAATGGTTTAAGGTATTGACAACAGACTGCATAATTAGCTAAATGAGTCCAGGCAACTGAGAACTTTGTTCAGCCAATGGGTTTTAGTGTTTTAGCAATTGAGAAAAACTGTAATAGTCCAGTTTCATTGATTCAACAATGATTTTCTGAAAATGCTATGGTTTTCTATTCAGTTATTGATTAGGTTACCTGTAACTGTAACCAGTAACTTTAACCTGTATTTAAATGTAAATGTTACCTTCTTCTGCATTTTGCAGCCACTCAACAAACTTCTTCATCTGCTCGACAAAGACACCTTTCCCTTTGGTGGTGTGATTGTCTTTGTACCACCTCAGAATGGCCTCCTCACTCAACACATCAGCTGGGTGGAGAGAAGAGAGACAGAACAGGAACATTTAGACACCACAAGGAGAAGTTATGTGAATTTATGTAAAATTTGAATTTCAGTTTACTTCCTACATTGAAATGGAATTGACCCCAGCCCTGACCACTAAGACAAATGAAAGAGAGACCCTTTTTTCCCTTTTTTTTTCTTTTTTTTTTCTTTTTTACATAGAAACTGTGTGAAAGAGTGTCCTGTATAAAATGATAATACCGACCTTTGTAGAAGAGCACCACTATCTTGGAGAAGGACTTCATGAAGTGGATGTTGTCATAGCAATACTCCTGGATCCTCAGTAGCAGCACCAGCTCTGACTGGCCCTGGGTGCTGAACGCTGCTAGCAGGGGGGCATAGTGCTGGAGGGCAGAGGATACACACCCCATCAACAAAGTCATTCATTCATTCATGGTTGATGTTAGTGTTGTGCAGTACTTTGAGGTGTTTGAGGGCCTCCACAGTGACCATCTCTAATGTTGTTATACAGTGGATGGGTTAGGAGTGAGTTAAGTTATTCATGGTTGATGTTATGATGATGTACTTTAAGGTGTTTGAGGGCTTGCTCAGTGACCAACTCCTCCTTCTTGTTCCACTCCACAGCATTCATGAGAATGTTCCACAGCAGACCAATCACAGCCTGCTCCTGGAGGTCACTCCTCTTCATCTCCTCCTTCACGTACACCACCATCTAGAACCACAGAAGAATAATTATTTACTGTCCATTATGTTGGAGAATGGAATGTATTATTTTTGCCTATACAATCCAACCCAGAGACAGACAAACACACCCCAATGAGGGGTTGGAAGCACAGGGTGGGGCGCAATGCAGCTCTCTTGGAGCTTGTTCAAGGGTACAAAGGCAGGACATGGTATCTGGTATTACACCTCTCGTATGGGGCAGTCGTGAGAGAGTCGCTCCTGCAGTTCTTTCTGCAGCTCCTTTCGTGTTCCCTGAGACTGCTGCACACGCATGAAGTCTGACAGCTCCTTCAGCCCCGCCTCATTGAAGTACTTAGAGAAGTGCTCCACGTTCTGCTTGTTGGCAGGAAACAGCTCCTAGAGAAATATCAAGAAGTCTAGGCTCAAACAACTTCCATTGATCTTCAACCCTGCAAATTCACTACAACAGCTTCCACTTGTGGCTGGAGCACAGTAAAATAATTGGAGCACAGTAAAAGAGTCTCTCTAACCTCTAGGCCAGCGGTTCCCAACCTTTTTCTGTTCCGGGGACCACCAAATCACCATCAAAAGCTCTTGAGGACCACCATTCGAGGAGTCACAGAATTTTTTGACTTAAGGTTCAAAACCACTGCTCTAGGCTACCTGCCTAAAGTGTTTCTTACCAGGAGTTTCTTATCCAGGTTAGCCTTCCTCAGGGCTGAGGTGACTGCATTGGCATCTTTCTCAGATATCCATGCCTTGAACATCTTCACCGCAAAGGACGCAGAGATACCTGCAAGATACCAATAACAGACAAGTGTAAGAGAACAACTTGGAAGAAAACCAGAGCTATAAATATATGCCATACATATGTGCCTCAAGAACGAGAACTCCCCCCCCCCCCCCCCCCACACACACACACACACTCTCACCTTCCTTGACAACATTGTCACTGAAGAGGCTGGTGAGGATGGGTGGGGGCAGAGTGCTGTTAGCCAATAGGATACCAGTCAACATAGCCAGCTTGGTCTGCTCTGATTCGCTGAACGCCTTCAGGAACAGCAGAAGCTAAGGGATAAAACATCCATCAATCAATCAGTAAATCAATCAGTCAATCAGGACAGGTCAACACATGGGCAGGAAATGATGTAAACTAAAGACAATAGGATAAAAAATGTCTACCCAGCTGAAGATATAAAGTGTAATCACAAGTACATAGGATCATCCAAAACTGAAGAACTGTTAAAGGGACTTCACATGAGCCTGTTTCCTGTGAATTCCTGTGAAGCCTGTTTCCTGTGAATTCCTGTGAAGCCTGTTTCCTGTGAATTCACCTGAAGCCTGTTTCCTGTGAATTCCTGTGAAGCCTGTTTCCTGTGAATAATTTACCTTTTTGACTTCCTCCTCGAAGGCATTCTGCAGGTACTTGTACCTCCTGATCAGCTTGTTAAAAACCTACAGAAACACACAGACACACAGAGGGACATGAGATTCAGTGACAGACACAGAGAGCTGGGACAGAGAGAGGGAGAAAGAGAAAGAGAAAGAGAGAGACAGACAGAGTTAGAGAGAGACAGACAGGCAAACAGATCATGAAGGAGTGCAGTTTAATCCAGGAGGATTATATTAAAATGATGTCGTCGTGGACACACTGGATACTCCCAGGCGATTGGTGGGTATTAGCAGATCTAATACCACTTCACTGAGGGTGTCTCCCCCCAACACTGCCCTTTACCCCAGTCAATGGTAAGACAGAGAGAGAGTGTATGGGTATGCAAGTGTGTGTGTGTGTGTGTGCGTGCATTCATTCATGTGTGTCCGTGTGTCACCCGTCAGCCACCCGAGCCACGGCCTGTTAACCCAGCTATCATCCAGAAGGCGAGGTCAGTACAGGTGCATCAAAGCTGGGACCGAGAGACTGAAAAACAGCTTCTATCTCAAGTCCATCAGACTGTTAAATAGCCATCTCTAGCCGGCCTCCACCCAGTACCCTGCCCTGAATTTAGTCACTGTCACTTTAATAATGTTTAAATACTGTTTTACTCATTTCATATGTATATACTGTATTCTAGTCAATGCCATCCTATTCAACTATTACTGTACATATACAATGCTATCCTACGTATTCTTCAGATATACTATCCATACACTGTCCATAAGTATATATATACTATATATATAATTTATATATACAGTACCAGTCAAAAGTTTGGACACACCTACTCATTCACCTACTCATTCAAGGGTTTTTCTTTATTTTTTACTATTTTCTACATTGTAGAATAATAGTGAAGACATCAAAACTATGAAATAACACATGTAGTGTTCATAGAATCATGTAGTAACCAAAAAAGTGTTAAACCAATCAAAATATATTTGAGATTTGAGATTCTTCAGCCACCCTTTGCCTTGATGACAGCTTTGCACACTCTTGGAATTCTCTCAACCAGCGTCATGATCTAGTCACCTGGAATGCATTTGAATTAACAGGTGTGCCTTCTTAAAAGTTAATTTGTGGAATTTATTTCCTTCTTAATGCGCTTGAGCCAATCAGTTGTGTTGTGACAACGTAGGGGGGTTATACAGAAGATAGCCCTATTTGTTAAAAGACCAAGTCCAAATTATGGCAAGAACAGCTCAAATAAGCAAAGAGAAACAACAGTCCATCATTAGATTTGAGATTTTAGTAATTTAGTAGACGCTCTTATCCAGAGCAATTTACAGTTTTTAGTGAGTGCATACATTTTCTTACTGGCCCCCCGTGGGAATCAAACCCACAACCCTGGCGTTGCAAACGCCATGCTCTACCAACTGAGCTACACGGGGCCACTGTGTACTTTAAGACATGAAGGTCAGTCAATACGGAAAAGTTCAAGAACTTTGAAAGTTTCTTCAAGTGCAGTCGCAAAACCATCAAGCGCTATGATGAAACTGGCTCTCATGAGGACCGCCACAGGAATGGAAGACCCAGAGTTACCTCTGCTGCAGAGGATAAGTTCATTCGAGTTACCAGCCTCAGAAATTGCAGCCCAAATAAAGTTCAAGTTCAAGTCACAGACACATCTCAACATCAACTGTTCAGAGGGGCCTTCATGGTTGAATTGCTGCAAAGAAACCACTACTAAAGGACACCAATAGGAAGAAGAGACCTGCTTGGGCAAAGAAACACGAGAAATGGACATTAGACCGGTGGAAATGTGTCCTTTGGTCTGGAGTCCAAATTTCAGATTTTTGGTTCCAACCGCTGTGTCTTTGTGAGACGCGGTGTGGTTGAATGGATGATCTCTGCATGTGTATTTCAACCGTAAAGCATGGAGGAGGTGGTGTGATGGTGTGGGGGTGCTTTGCTGGTGACACTGTCTGTGATTTATTTAGAATTCAAGGCACACTTAACCAGCATGTCTACCACAGCATTCTGCAGCGATATGCCATCCCATCTGGTTTGGGCTTAGTGGGACTAGCATTTGTTTTTTAAGAGGATAATGACCCAACACACCTCTAGGCTGTATAAGGGATATTTGACCAAGAAGGAGAGTGATGGAGGGCTGCATCAGATGACCTGGCCTCCACAATCCCCCGACCTCAACCCAACTGAGATGGTTTGGGATGAGTCGGACGGCAGAGTGAAGGAAAAGCAGCCAACAAGTGCTCAGCATATGTGGGTACTCCTTCAAGACGGTTGGAAAAGCATTCCAGGTGAAGCTGGTTGAGAGAATGCCAAGAGTGTGAAAAGCTGTCATCAAGGCAAAGGATGGCTATTTGAAGAATCTCAAATATAGAATATATTTTGATTTGTTTAACACTTTTTTGGTTCCTACATGATTCCATATGTGTTATTTCATAGTTTTGATGTCTTCACTATTATTCTACAATGTAGAAAATAGTAAAAATAAAGAAAAACCCTGGAATGAGTAGGTGTGTCCAAACTTTTGACTGGTACTGTATATATATACAGTGGGGAGAACAAGTATTTGATACACTGCAGATTTTGCAGGTTTTCCTACAAAGCATGTAGAGGTCATAGGTACACTTCAACTGTGAGAGACAGAATCTAAAACAAAAATCCAGAAAATCACATTGTATGATTGTTAAGTAATTAATTTGCATTTTATTGCATGACATAAGTATTTGATCACCTACCAACCAGTAAGAATTCCGGCTCTCACAGACCTGTTAGTTTTTCTTTAAGAAGCCCTCCTGTTCTCCACTCATTACCTGTATTAACTGCACCTGTTTGAACTCATTACCCATATAAAAAAGACACCTGTCCACACACTCAATCAAACAGACTCCAACCTCTCCACAATGGCCAAGACCAGAGAGCTGTGTAAGGACATCAGGGTTAAAATTGTAGACCTGCGCAAGGCTGGGATGGGCTACAGGACAATAGGCAAGCAGCTTGGTGAGAAGGCAACAACTGTTGGCGCAATTATTAGAAAATGGAAGAAGTTCAAGATGACGGTCAATCACCCTCGGTCTGGGGCTCCATGCAAGATCTCACCTCGTGGGGCATCAATGATCATGAGGAAGGTGAGGGATCAGCCCAGAACTACACGGCAGGACCTGGTCAATGACCTGAAGAGAGCTGGGACCACAGTCTCAAAGAAAACCATTAGTAACACACTACGCCGTCATGGATTAAAATCCTGCAGCGCACGCAAGGTCCCCCTGCTCAAGCCAGCGCATGTCCAGGCCCGTCTGAAGTTTGCCAATGACCATCTGGATGATCCAGAGGAGGAATGGGAGAAGGTCATGTGGTCTGATGAGACAAAAATATAGCTTTTTGGTCTAAACTCCACTCGCCGTGTTTGGAGGAAGAAGAAGGATGAGTACAACCCCAAGAACACCATCCCAACCGTGAAGCATGGAGGTGGAAAAATCATTCTTTGGGGATGCTTTTCTGCAAAGGGGACAGGACGACTGCACCGTATTGAGGGGAGGAGATCTTGGGGAGAGGAGGAGATCCATGTATCGCGAGATCTTGGCCAACAACCTCCTTCCCTCAGTAAGAGCATTGAAGATGGGTCGTGGCTGGGTCTTCCAGCATGACAACGACCCAAAACATACAGCCAGGGCAACTAAGGAGTGGCTCCGTAAGAAGCATCTCAAGGTCCTGGAGTGGCCTAGCCAGTCTCCAGACCTGAACCCAATAGAAAATCTTTGGAGGGAGCTGAAAGTCCATATTGCCCAGCGACAGCCCCGAAACCTGAAGGATCTGGAGAAGGTCTGTATGGAGGAGTGGGCCAAAATCCCTGCTGCAGTGTGTGCAATCCTGGTCAAGACCTACAGGAAACGTATGATCGCTGTAATTGCAAACAAAGGTTTCTGTACCAAATACTAAGTTCTGCTTTTCTGATGTATCAAATACTTATGTCATTCAATAAAATGCAAATTAATTACTTTAAAATCATACAATGTGATTTACAGACCTCTACATGCTTTGTAAGTAGGAGAACCTGCAAAATCGGCAGTGTATCAAATACTTGTTCTCCCCACTGTATATATATATATATATATATATATATATATATATATATATATATATATATATATATATATATATATACTCCGGACTCTGACATTGCTTATCCTAATATTTCTATATTTCTTAATTCTATTCTTTTACTTTTAGATTTAGATTTGTGTGTATTGTTGTGTATTGTTAGATATTACTGCACTCATGGAGCTAGGAACATAAGCATTTCGCTACATCCACAATAACATCTACTAAATATGTGTATGCGACCAATAAAATGTTATTTGATTAGATTAGATTGTTTGTGTGTGTGTTTGTGTATACCAACCTGAGCATAGCGGCGGAGGTTGGCATGGTTCTCCTCGGTGGTAAACACACAATGTTCTGTCACCTTGGTCTTGTCCCCCTCGTCAATGCGCGTCCCGCCGGGAGCTGAGACAGACAGACAGTTATTTACATTACGGTTGTAGTGAATGAGGGGGAACAACCAGCACAGCCGGAGAGGGTAGTGACCCTTGTGCCATAAAGGTCAACACACCACTTCAACGACTATCTATCCTGCCCAGTCATAAAGCGATTAGAAAGAAGAGACGGACGGACGGACAGACAGACAGACAGATGGACAGACAGGCAGACAGACAGACGGGCGGACAGACATACATCTAGACGGACAGAAAGACGTGGCAAGTCATCAGGGTCAAGGTTTAAAGCTTTAACCCTGTTAGCTAGCAGCATGGGTATGTCCTTACTGTCTGTTAGCTATAACTGTAGAGTTGTAGAATAATCAGAAAGAGACCTATCTATCTACTCTATGTCCATGATTGATTGATGTGACAAGAAGTTGTGGATATCATGGAGATATTGGCGCATAAGGATGGGAGTGATCAGACCCTGATATACAGTAATCAGTAATCATACTGTAACTGGATTATTACACAACATTATTACATCATTCACTCCACCCTAAAGGGAGACACTACCCATTCACAGGAAGGAGAGAGAGAGCTCTGTTCTTCCTAGTCAATCATCTATTTACTAACATCTCTCCATTTTTTCCCCCCTTTGTCTGTTCCATCCCCGAGGTGGCTGTTGACGCAGGATGATCCATTATTTTAATCTCCTCCTGTTTGGGACAAATGAGGATGTTTATGAGGGCTTAACAACAACTACAGTATCTGAAGGCTTAGAGCCCAACCTGCAACCTGTTAGATCTGGATCTAATGCTTTACTATCCCTGTTGACTTCATAACTGCTTCATAGGACTGTTGTAGATTAACAAAATCATCACTTCCTCTATGTGTTCATGCAAATATCCCACCTTTAGTATAGCACATTTTATAAATAGTGCTGTGTGTGCTTGCATGAACCAGGTACCTAGCCTTCATGCTACTAAAGGCTAATGTGGTTCCCTGAGATGCTGGTTCCTTTCATGTAGAGGACCACGTATCCCTGGTCTCCCTCTGAGCTGCTCCGTCTCTCCACTGACACTGCCAGGTTCTTATTATAGGACCAGCG